TTCCCGATAATAAAAAAAAAATAGAACAAAAAACAAAGCTAAATTTTCTTTAGTTACTCTCTCAAATTTCTGGGTCTGTTTCAGGCCCCGGAAATATAGAACGCGATCCAATAGACTACTTCCCTAAATCCCTGCATGCGACCTACCTCGTTGCATGCGACCCTGCGCGCGTTGCAGTCTGGGAACTAGTTGGCCAGGGAACAGAGTGGCGTGGTTTCAGTTTCAATCGACACCTCGACTATTCAATCGACACCTCGACGTAGACTATTAACGGCCGCGTTATCTCATGAGTCTGCTCCCGAGAGCGTCATTTTTGGTTTCTATAAACTAACCTAAATGGCCAGATCTCGATGCATTAGCACAAGCCCGAAGCATACGTAAAGTTTATCTTGACACATTCTTGTATTTTTGTACTCGAGCCTGCCTGTTAGCGTTTCGAGCTATGTGAACGAGCCCATGCTGGGAATCTCGACGCTGCGATGCTCGGGGATTTTTCTTGTGTACGAGTCAGCACGCTGCAACAACCAATAAGTACGCATCCATCGAGCTCGCACCTTTACATTAGTTTTGCTGGTCAGCAAGTTTGTTTGTTTTGTGCGTCCATTGACGAAATATAACTTTTTGCAATTATTGTTTTTTTTTTAATACGCCTGAGTACGCGAGGTAAAACCCGGAGAGCCGCTAAAAGCTGAAATCGAACACACTATATCTCTTATCCGTACTGACCCGCAGCACTGCACAAAGTGAGGTCCCCACCCGCTTGGGCATTCCACTCATTCAACATCGCGTATGAGCATAAAGTTATCCTGCAGTCTTATAAGCACATTCGCACATACGAACCGTTTTAAGAAGAAAAAAAATTGAGCACTACAGTGAAGATCGAACGAAAATATTCAAAGCGCACTTGACGGCTGCTAATGGCCATAATATGTTATATGAGTTCGCTTTCTTCCTGACTGAGTATGCCGAGATAATTTCAGACACACTGTTCCGACACAGATCTTGGGCGTCAGTAAAAGCTCGTCCAAAAAGGCTTAGCCAGGAGCAGGGGACGCTTGAAAAGGCCTCCATCGTAACTAGCCGATTTCAGCGTTTGCGAAAATCTCCTATCAGCATAAAATTTGAGTGAGAGATATATGATAGCACGAGGAAGACATTATAATAACTTGTGTGCAGGAGTGAGGTCGAATTTATTCCGAAACTTCCTTAACAGTTCATGCGCCAACTCTGGACTCAACTTTTCTCCTGTGAGGATGCAACTTGTTTTTCGCTCAATGAAGTAACAAGAAGCGGACGTTTGGCAAACAAAATACGTGTATAGGCTTAAGGTGACCAAACTTCAGTTCTAGTTCACTGGTACTAGACAGGATTATTGAAATTGAGCTCAAAGATGCAATCGTGGGCTGAGTCGACTACGCCACGCCTTACTATACGTTTGCATACGAACGCACAATATCCGGTGTTTCGCGAACCAAGAAGTGCCCCGGTCTTCATATTGTATCGCTCGAGAATGAGAGTGTTGTACATTCTTGAAAAGTCAGATAATCGAAAACGCAAGCAGCGCATTCGGTCACGGCGTGATAGCATGAACTGAAGCTGCTCAATCGAAACAGAAACTGAGTGGCCAACTAGTTCCCAGAGTGCACTACGTGGCATTTCGCCGCGATGGGGCGCTTTGAAGTTGGGAGGAAGTCTCTGGGGGAATCCACAATTATTTAAATAAAGAAGGCCTCCATTTTCTTGCTGAAAACATGTATAGAATCGTTACAGACTTCACAGCGCACAATTAACGCACAGCTCACGATATGCACACACACAAAACAACGTACACACCATTGGCTGACCTCACAACTCTATTTTGTAAAATTTCGTGTTTGTTTTCTTCTACGTCTATACGCAAAATTGTTCGCTTTTATCTCCCTCTATCTTTTTCTGACAAGGTGAGAGGTGATGTACTAACACGTCGACGGGTAAAACAGTGTGAACAAGGATACAGGACAGAGAAATACACAGACGGAGCGCTAACACGTTTATCGTCAAGCCTAACGATATATTGGGCTTCAATGATATCATCATTGAAGCCCAATATCATACTTGGGTAGTAATTCAATGACAGTAATTGAATTACTGCAATTAAATTATGTTTCCTGTTGATTTGTAATTGTAATTAATTACTTTCGGCCAAAAGGAGTTATAACTGTAATGTAATTCCTTTCTAGCGGCAGTAATTGCGAAATTTCCGGCACAATAACAATTACTTTTGCAAAACTTTGCGGCACCAACACAACCTCTTTGGAAGCCTCAGCGCTCGCACAAGCGGCCCAACTCTCGGTGAAACACTCGCACAAAGACACACACTCACACACACGCACAACATAAATAGTGTCGCATTGTTTGTTGTTTTGTTGCTTACACTGCGGGCTGAAAGACAATCCTCTTTGGAGCCTACCTCAACGGTGCCGTGTTGCGCCGTCTGCTGTGCGAGCAGAAAACTATAGCGTAAACATGCCAAAATATTGAGAAAAAAAATTGAACTTCAGCTTTTAGTTGAGTTAGGGGATATTAATTGTCTATGAAGTTTTTTTTTTATTTTTTATTTGCCAGGTTTTTACTTTTTCTTTCAGTACTGTCGCATATTTGTCTTTGTATTATTTTCAAGTTTATTTCCTGTTGGTTTTACTTCGTATATTTTTGCATAAGCATTTTGGAGACTGACCTCACACCTATAAATATAGTTACCAATGATTCGCGGGCCTCGATTCGGTTCTTATATATTCCTGAGCCATTATAATTTCCAACACAATTTAAATAATTTACGATATCGTGTTTGTATGTGAATGCGGTCGTATTAGCCCGTGTGAATTTTAGTTTTACATTAACACTTGTAAAATATTCATATATTGTCACGAATGACAAGTGATGAGGCAATAATAACTGGAGAAACTAAACGTTTAATGGGAGAAACTTGTTCCCAAAAATAAAAAGGGGACAGAATAAAGCAGAGCGTCGCGGGCGTCGAAGTCGGCAAGACAGCAGAATCGAACGCTGGGGCGAAAACTGACTCCGCTCGCCATGCGGAGTCCCATGTACCTTCGTGGATTCCTGGATCATTCGGCGTAGAAGTTAGAACGTACGGGGAGTAGAACTTTCGGAACTCGGTCAGACGAGAATGTTCTCGAACTTGCGAGGCCAAGTTGAAAGAATAAGCAAAAAGGACAGTCGCCTGACTTGTTTAAAGCTGAATGGCCGAAGTCGGGTCGCTCTCAGAAATAAGTAATTGTAAAGTAATTGCATTACTTTTTATAAGTAATTTGTAATTGTAATTAATTACTTTTCACGTAAAACTACTTTTGAAGCAACTAAAGCAGAAGTTTGGGCTAATTGGTATTTCATCATTAAAGATTAAAGGGATACTTCAACGAAATTTGAAATATTCCCGTCGTGTTCAAAAATAGGTTGAATATGATCCACAATACCCGTAAATGACAATCGCGCATTTGTATTTTGAGCCTGGTGGCTGTATTTTTCGTTATAAATGGCCCACTCTGGCAAGCGCTCGGAGAAGGCCCAGCTGAGACCACGTGACATTCAACGTGATCGTGACGTAGGTCGTCTCAAGACGAGCAAAGCTACGGCGAGGCTGACGTCGAGAGGATGGCCTAGTCGTTCCAGCAACCGAAGCGGCTGCTTTTGTACGAATTTTGAGTGACGGGTTAATCTTCTGTAATCTTGTAGGGGGACAATAGCGACTTCTGCGACACACAAAAGGCATTGTCGGGAAGAGGGGAGTTCCTCCTGCCCTTCTTCTCTCGTCGTGGCCGGAGACGAGACAACCTCCGTCACTAGCTGTCAAGGTTCCTAGACGGGCATTACAAGCGAGGCGTTAGCGACATCCACCAGGTGCTCTTTGCTAATCGTTTAATTCGTTTTAAAATTACTTTTCGTGACTTTTTCAACAAGATATTGGTATGTTCGATGTGATGCTGCTTTTTTGAACACATATAAACCAAAAAATGAGCGCCGAAATTTCGTTGTAGTATCCCTTTAACACAGAGCAAGGACACGGACAAGAACAAGAAGGTAGACAAACAAAGCGCTGTTTGTCTACCTTCTTGTTCTTGTCCGTGTCCTTGCGCTGTTTTAATCTTTAATTTTGAAGCAAAGTAATTGTAATTGTAATTAAATTACACTTTGAAAGTAATTTACCCATGAATGCTGGTCAATTGGTTACTGTGCCTGCTTAAAATTATAGTAAACCACCCGAACTCCCACAATTCCTGCAATGAAGTCATAGATGTCCAGAGTTTGCACGGTTTGCAGCTACGATGTTGTTGTGTTCGCGGAGTCGATCGTTGAGACATCGTCCGGTCTGCCCGATGTATTGTTTTCCACAGGAAAGGGTGAAGGAGAACATCATTCTTTTGTGCACTGAACAAAAGTGGTGTTTTAAGACCCTTACACAGGGTCTTAAAAATCTTCTTCGATGAATGATGACGAACGATTAGAAAACGTGTCTTCAGCATGCTGCCGCCAGCCCCTGTAACGCTAGCAAAACCGCAAATCGTCCACAAGCAAGATGGCCGTCCGGTGGCTTCACTCGTGAAAGCGGGAAGCGCTATCCAGCAGTTGTCATTGAGAATTATTAGTGTTTGGGACTTACTATTCTCGACATAAAGGAAGACCAAGTAATTGCCGATGTAACGAAAAACTCTCACGACCTTTGATGTATCTAAACAACTTGTCAACAGTCCGTTGCGGTAAGAGAGATAGCATGGTAATTAAAAATGGGGAAATGTTTTTGCGCTAACTTTTAGTTTCATGCGGGCTATATAATAAAAATACACACAACTTACCCTCATGATTTGCATGGATGCGTTCGCGGCACTGAAACACCCAAACTGGGTCTCCCGCCAATTAAATTTAAAAATTACGAAAGTGAAACTAAGAAAATCCAAGAGAAATAACATAGGCACGCATCCGAGACAATCCGGTTTAGGCAGAACAAGATGGCCGCGCCCGGTCGTTCTCGCAGCTCGCTTGTTTACGAATCGAGAGGCCCAGTTGCCGAAGTCCCGTAGAACCCACAGCTTAAAGCTTCAGGCTCGTAGTCTATCTCCCGATGTCCCGTGTCCACTGCAGTTAAGCATGCCCGCACAGCAGAGCGTAAAATCATGGCGCCTGGCGCACGTCCTCATCTACCTGTGTTGCATCGCGACTTCACTCGGAGCCCTACTCAGTTATCGCAACCTGAACGCGCTCCTGCAGAACAACGTGAACAAATGCTTGTTGTACGCGAAGCCCTCGGTGGAAAAGCAAGAGGAAGGCCCGTGTCACTTCGATCTCCTGGGCTCGGAGTGGAGCAGCGACCTTCTCTGTGACTACGTGTTTTTCGCCATCCTGGCGTCATTTGTCTACGGCATCATCGCCGTCTGGTTTTTTCTCATGTGCGCGCCTTCGTCCAGAGGAACACCGGATGACAAGTAAGTGCTGCATTTTCTCTATTTGCTTTACGTATTAATGTATTTTAATAAAACCAGCTAAAAGTGTAATAATTAAAAAGCGCAACAGGACAACGGACACAGAAGGAGACACAGACACAGCGCTACTTACAACTGAACTTTATTTCCGCTGGAGCTCGGTATATATTACCGGCAACAACACAAACAAGTTAGGAAGATATAAAATACACATCGTAACAATCTTTAAAAACAACATAAAATAACTAAAAATTCCTGCATCACTCATCGGCACCCACCCAAAACTAGTCATGCTTGGTCAAGAAACTGCAATTCTTTTTCTGAAAACGATAAAGAGGGTGCGCTTACACATTGCAGCCCTAATCTAGCAATTTCTCGAGCCTCGATTATTTCCCTTGTGGTTTTGTTTCTGTTTTTGTTCTGTACTGTACAATCTGTGATCATCGGAGTACAACCACAATCCCGGCAATGCACACCGAGGTGTCCTGATATGACGGCATCAACGTTGTAACGGTGTTCCCTCAATCTTTCATTTAAGCAGCGACCAGTCTGCCCCACATAATGACGCCCGCACAATAATGGCACGGAGTACACAACCTCTTCTGTACACTCAACAAAGCAAGTTTTGTGCTTTTTCGTGCAGCGCTGTGTCTGTGTCTCCTTCTGTGTCTGTTGTCCTGTTGCGCTTTTTAATTATTATGAATCACCAACTCGCCCAACTTTCTACCCGCGTCAAAAATGTAAAATTGTCAATTTGCACGGGCATCAAAGTAAACATTCACTCGGCCTCGTAGACACATTAGTTGGCCAGAAATTATCATTGAGGTGTGCTCACAGTCGCCGTTAATTTCTGGCTATCTAATCTGTCCATTCAATATTCCTTCACTGCGTGGTACCGTTGGAAACGATCGGGAAGACGAAGAGCAACATACAACATCTCGAGGCCAGGTAACGTTTCCTTTAATTTTCGTGTAAATGGCCGATTTTAAATGAAGTTTCCGGGTCATCAGAGAGGTGGCACGACTCGTCATTGGATATGTTAGAGCACGCATGACTTTCAAATAAAAGATTCTGTATTTTTTTTATTGAGTAAAGCTATACGCACTCCGTAGCGCGACTCGACCGGAAATGGCTATATGCACTATGCGAAACTTGTATAAAACGAAAGGTTACAGCGAGTTTTCTAGGCGGTGGCATAGCGTAGTGGTAAGGTGTCTGGTTCATACGCAAGTTTATGCGGGTTCGATCCCCTGGTGGGCCTACTTTTTTTCTTTTTTCTCTAACATTTTGTTTTGTCGAGGCATGGCGATATTTGCGACTTTTTTTTTTTTTTAATCAACTAATCAACACTTAAAAAAAAAAAAAGAAGAAAAAGAAAAACGAATGTTGTCAACGAAACTTCGCAGAACCAAATGGTATGGGACTCCCTTTCCGGAGGTGGAATCGGGGACAGCGGGGCTTGGGTTGCCGGCTGGACGCCGTGAAGTGGTGTGTACCAGTTAAGTTTTGTAATTAGCAGCTGCACACTGTCGCCGCGAAGCGGCGTGAACGCAGACGGGGGTATGTGTTAACGAGCTCCCCAGTGATACACGCGCCGCTCAAAAAGGGTGACACAAATGGGCTGAGCTCTCCGAGTAGTGCATATAGCCATTTCCGATCGAGTTGCACTACGTAGTGCGTATAGCTTTACTCTTTTCCATTAGCTAAAACGGACACCCGCGTTGAGACCCATGTTGCCTTTACTTGCTCTTAGACGTCAAATGTTTGTTTATCGTGGCATAGTGGAGCCCTCACTCGGTGAAAACACGAAGCAGACAACAAAATACCCTGGAGGGGACGGAGCAAAGGTGGTAGTGCTGCCATCTGCCAGAGTGCACACAAACTAAGCTCCAAAGCCGAAACACAAACCAGACTCTTGGTCAAGCTTTGTGGTCCATAATGGATGGCACGAGAGACATTTGTGATTAGAAGCCAGGGGCCATGTGCAAGCATTGCAGAAGTTACAACGGCGAACTTCGGTGTCTTTGCCAAGCATGCACGCTCTCACTGGCTAAGCGTCGTTTGGGGCAACATGCTCATTCTTGTAGCCTCGACATTGTTCGCGCACAAGGCCTAGCAAACTTGCACGGCTTGTGCATGACTTCGCAGCGCCATGCATGCGGTCGGTCTTCCGCGTCCTTGACGTGAAATTCAAATTCGGTCTTGCAAAATGTATGTTGTAGAAGCTACTCTCTCGGGAACAAGATCACTTTGACGGCAGTCGACGTGACGTCGATGCACCTTTCTACCGATCATCACCGAGGTGGAACTCACCGAGTTGCCGTTTCGATGATGCACACGCGTAGTGTCCAAAGAAGATAGCTGCTGTGTACGCCGGGAATGCATTTCTACAGCCCACTTGGCAAAAATGGCAGCATGTAGAAGGTGATTGGTGGAACAGCCTACGGAAGGGAACAAAAGCGACGTCGTAGTCCACGTTCAGTAGTGGCCATCTCGACGCCAAACGGAGCGACAGAGTTGCCAGCTCCAGGAGTGCCCCCTGAATAGAAAAAAAATGCGACTCTCCCGCTGCTACCCCCCCAGTTTCCTCCCCCTCCCCTGCGGCAGACGATGCAAATTAAATAGAAGCAGACAACGTTGGAGCACTGTCGCTTTTATGGGACCTCGGCATTTAACGAGTCTCGACAACGCCGTCGGAGAACAAGCAGCCGACTGCAGATTGGGCCTTTCGCACGTCAGTGCAAAGACCGCGGCTAATAAAATCACTCCATTTAGTCGTTAATGTGCGCGAAGTGTTGAACTCTGCGTATGTATGCCATCGATCACGACACCCTTCTACGACCATTAGTTTGCTCTGCCCTCGTACACATGCACGAAGTCGGCCACTCTTTGCGAGGGAGGTTTTGTTCGGTCGTGCGAAGGACAAGCATACTTGCATAAACTCTGATTTACTGCACAGACAGTACTGGACCGGGATCATGCACCGTGCGAGCATTCAACTGCTGACACAGTCACTTTCAGGCCTGTTCTTGTTCCGTTTGTCACATACACGGTGACAGTTGTCAGTAATCATAAAGTATCTGTGAATGCTGATCAAAAACCCGGCACCACAAAAACATTTACATAGTTGTTGGCATATTTGAGACAAAAGGGATATTCTCCAAGACATTCTCAGAAAAGAGCAAAATCAGAACGCATTATTCGTCTTCCCTCGAGCACTTTCAGTCAAGAAAAAGCGAGCAAACTGCGGATCCGCGCCGCAAACGATGTAGCTTCTCCTGCCCTTTCGTCTGCGTTTTCTCTTTCGGTGCCTGAAATGTGTCAGCAATTTGGAAAGATGTTGTACCTCACTCTTTTGACTCTTCATGTGCCTTCTCGGTACTTGGTGCACAAGAGCTTGACTCCAAAACCTTGGAGTTATGCTCACCGGAAGTTGGTTGTCGCTGCCTAAAGGAAAGAGTCACTAACTTCTTCACTCGGTGCTGCTGCTAAACACGCCCCATACATCGTGTCACCCTCAAAACATTTACTCATTAAAATGGCCCACAAAAGTCAGTGACTTCACATATCAAGCACTTTTCGAACACATTTTTTGCTGGTTAGATTTACATATTAAAACTTAAATCTGACTTAAATCTGATTAAAACTTGACTCTTTTCTCGTTAAATCTCCACTCTTCGTAAAACAGAAGAAAAAAAAACGAAGTAAAGAATTCATATATTTAATAGTAAGGTGACGGCTGTGGGGAAGAAATGGAATGATGGCCTTGTTTGTGTAACTTGTCCAGAGAGCGCTCCAACATCGTCTACAAGCTCTGAAGTTAGTAATGTTCCTGTTAGGGGATATTTTTCATAATTAAGTTTTCAGTTTGAGTTACAACTAAAGTTTATGGCAACTGAGGCAGCAAGGACCAACTACGTAAACAGGTGATGCACAAAACGAAAACCATTAATAACTTGGGAATTTGATTTGGAAAGCAGGATTCAGCGTCTTGCTTTACCGCTATATATCGCTTGATGCTGGTCATTCTTGTGTAAGTTCAATGAAACCCCTTGCCAAAATTGGAGGACTTCCTCATTGCATGAGAAGCATGGAATGTCTTTATATAAAAAAAAAAAAAAAGAACCTAACCCCCTTCCTTGCCCCTCCCCTTCCCCTTTAGGCCAGGGAGCACTCCCTTTCTAAATAAATTTCTTCATCATCATCATTTCAAATGTGTGACTCTGTGACAGAAATGAAAGAGAGAGTTTTGATTCGTGTTTTTCAGGTTCGGAAATGGGACAGTTTTTTCTGAACGGATGCTGAGGTAAAGGAAGTTGTCGTGCTGTGCATTCAGTTTCTCTCCTGTCAAATGTGATGCCTTCTTTCTGGGTGGTACCTCGTCCGTTACCCGACGGCTGCTTTTTTTCTCTGTCATCTTTTGCTATTTCATTTTAATATCATTCAAAAGCATGAGCATATGAATATGCCTGTACTCTGTAGTGCGTAAATCACTGTAACGCTGAAAGTAAGTGAACGGCAAGCAATGAGCAGATTCCTTAACATTCCATGACCGCACATGGCTTGCCGAAGTCTCCAGCTGTGTTCATATTTCGTCCGCAGTGTTAGGATATTTTTTGGTTCATTGCTTACAGTGGCGTACCAACTTGTTTTTGAGTGGAGAGGCAAACCAGACCTCCCCCCCTCCCTCCCCAGGGTCAGGGGGCGGTGCCCTTGGTATCCCTTGGGCACCGCCAGCCAGTGTTTGCCCTGCCCACTGGCAGCTGTTTCAGGGGGGGAACACATGCCTTGCCCCCCACTCTGAGAACTGAGAAGAGCAAGCACCCCATGGTCTAAAAACTTCGGCACTTCCTGCCCGTACCCCATTGCAGGTTAAGGAAAGCAGAAGCAGCTTCCCCTGCAGAGCCCTTCACCCTTTCTACTTTAGGAGAGCAGATGCTAGAGAGTAGGCGAGTGGACTCACCTCCTTTCTCACCTCTTCACCTGTGTTCACTCCGCTGAGGTGGAAAGAGCAGGAAATCTTTGCTGGAGGAGTTTGTCCTGCCTTCCTTAACTTGCAACAAGATATAGTAAGTGCTGTTACCACAAGTGGTACTGGTCCATGTAAGAGTAATAAAAAATTTAAAAAATAATACAAAATTTGATTATATCCTTAAAGCAGCTGTATAGTTATTCTATTAAATTATTTTAGACTATTCTGACCCATAGGTCTCAAGTACAGCTTGTGTTTCCAGTCTTCCGTCTTTTCGACAGTTCCGTGGAGTCTGTGGGGTATGAATAGGCGCATCCAGTGACTTTCTTCATGATGGCTTCTCCGAACTCTCGTCCATCCGTTAGGCTCCCCGTGCTATCTGATTGGTTGACTCCCAACATCAGCAGTGTGCCTCTGGCGCTTCCATTTGTCCCTAGAAAAAATCTTTCCCGGGGTGTGACGAAAAGTTTCCAGACAAGGTGATTCGAGGACCGTGGTAATATACTTACCTAGAATTGTAATTATTTCTTTAATCGTGTCGTGCAGCATCGTTAGCGTGTGGAAGATAGTGCCGCCTGCGGCCTTCTTCAGTGCCCTGCTGATGCTGTTCACGGTCATCATGGCTTGGAAGGTCTCTGGGGGCCTCAATGCCGTTTTCTCCGACCCTGAATTTCTGGATGCAGTCAGCAGAAAGTAAGAGCAAGTGCTGTCAGTCGTTGCATTAACTTACTTCGAAACCATACTTTGTTGCACGAAATGCACTGGTGTATGCGTGACGTGCGCTGTAGCACGCCGAACACTGGCATGTCGTAGGGTGGCACTAACATTTACACAGATAAAGTTGCCACAAAACGCCGGGCATGCGTCGGTGTTACAACAAATGCACAGCCGCAACTTTTGAAACATTTGAAAAATAAGCAAAGCACATATCAAATGCCCAGCCGAGAGTCAGGGACCCACCTAGCTAACGGAGATGCTCCTCCATGTCAGCTGCTTCTCCGAGCTCGCCAATGCTAAGTGGAGCAGCTTGATACTCATACACTAATGTAAAGTGATGAGGCCCGCCCAATCATGTGCCCCCTTCTACATTTCTGCTATCTAATGTAACGAGCATTCATTCCCTAGTCTTTTCAGGATTATTTCCCAGGTTTCGGATGTATGCTTGCTCGGTACTTTACAGTAAAGGCAATGATGCTGTCGTTGCGAGCACAATAATATTGTTGTTTGCACCGAATCAGCTGGGCTGAATTTGACAAGATTTTAACCCTATAAAGCGCTTGTTTATTGGCTTCCCCTAAGGGGCGGTACAATGATATTTGTACTTTCAGCAAATGCCGCTTAGAATTATTCCTTGATACTTTTAACCTATTAAGCTAGTGTCAGTTTTTTGACTCCATACGATGGCAACTGCAGAAAAAATACGAGAAGAGCAACCAGGGTTCATCTTCTCAACTCACAGTCAGAACATCCAACGACATGATTTGGTGCCGTTATATGTCACCTGCGTTTATCATAGAGAGGCACTGGAGTTGGCAAAGCATAGGGCAGACATGGTTAGGGTTTGGCTATTCCTATCATTTTAGTGATTGGACATGAGCCACTACCTGAATGCTTATTGAGGAATTGATTTTTATCAGTTCAAATCAAGTGCTCACACAGCACTCATGTCTAATCTACGAGCTACTTTTGACTATCGTCAAAAGTGACTATATCGACACTGCAAGCCCCTTCACCGCATTATCCAGTTTTGCGGAGAGTCTGAAAAAAAAAAATCCGCTTTTATGCTTGAACTTATGTCGCGGCAAGGAAGCTTTCTTAGTGACGTGGCGTACACGTATACACGAGACCCACTAGTGTTGGTAAGTTTGCGTGAAGTGCACCGTAAGTTAATTTGGGGGAAGTGGGATCTTAAGTTGATGGATCCTTTGGTTTTACATCACTATCTTGCTACAGTATTGCATAATCAATTTATTTTGTGAGTAACTGTTAGCACAACGTCCTTCAGAGGACTATGGCAACCAAACAATTAGTGCTTTTGCTTTTTACACATTGTGGAACCTCCGAGAAGTTTATTCGAGGTATCGAATGTCCCCATAAAGAGCAGTAACATTTTCTTTTCGTCGTGGACCAGAGGTGATTTTTTTCTCAGTAGCAGTGTCATCACCTTGCTTGCATGACACAACATGGACGTTTCCAAGATGGCCTATCTTTCCGTGAAAAAACAGTGAGTGCACAGGCGAGCTGGTGGATGTTGATTATGATGTAGAAAACCCGAGACTGTGGTAAAAGCAGGGAAACTTGGTCGAAGAAGCGAGGCTCCGAAATGCTCAATCTGTGTGCTTTGGCATTTTTCTATTCCAGCTGCACTCTGACGAACCCTTCGGTTCCTTGGGACAGTGGCACCTTTGCGACTGTGCGTAGCCAGCGGCTCATGGCTCAGGTAAGACGTTCGGTGGTCGGACGTTTTTGCCTTGTGTTTACTAGGGAGGACCCTAGTGCTTTAAGGAGCTGAAACCTGTGTCGTCGTGGTCACAAGCGCAAAATTGCCCAAACAGCTTGGCTTATGATCGCTGATGGTTTAAGGAATGCACAGCACGCTATTTATGTTCACGCTTCTTGCTCTGTGATTAGTTCTTCGGGCCGCATTCTCATTGGCTGCGGAGCGAAAATAAGATGCTCTGGGTTTGCCACGCGCTGCAATTCGCAAGCCGTCGGTAACTATGGCAGTTGCCATTCTTTCAGAAAAGCGTACAGTTTGAGGAGGCTTCAAGACGGCTCTAATTGTTGCTCAAGGTGTACCTTTTTGACCAAAGCAATCGGCCACCACAAGGTGGCTTCAATGCGATGCTCCGCTCTCGCCTCCGTTCCTTGGCGTTGGATTTGTGTTTTTTGTTGCGTTTCGCCGCAGCTTTTTGTCTCGCTCTGTAAAGTGGCGTCCGATGTTTACGTTTGCTACCTAATTGCTTGTCAACATTATGTGTACAACCTCTGCACTAGATTTTATAACACGTTTTGGCTATTTTTATGCGGGATGTACCGGATACGTGTCTAGAGGCTAGAGGAGGTACAGGAATCAGCCTTAGCACTTGCGCGCATCGAGTTTGTGGATGAGCACGAGAGTTGAGAGCTCAATTAGCTATGACAGCGCAATTTTTCTCGGGGATAGTGACGGAATATTAAAAATAATAAGTGCAAAGAATATTTATGATCACGCATATAGAATCTTAATACGCGACTATACTTTGTTTCACAATAACTTGGCGAACTGTGGAGGCTGCAGCCCCCACGACCCAATAAGGGCACCAGAACAAGGCATGTGATAACACTCCATAATCAAGGCCACCGGGGCCTTGTTACCGCCACAACAACAGAGCCCTCCACGACAAAAAGTAGTTCTAGGCTTCTTTTTCATTCAACGAGATTTTCTTTTAACGGCAATTGAACTCTCCCGATTTCGCGAGAAGATATGAAAAAAAAAAGAATAAATATTCACAAATTTATGAGCTTCAGTTATATTTAAACCAAAAAACTTATGCCATATCCGTATCTGCTCGATGTTTTTCGCCTTGTAGCGCCGTGGCCAATGGCGATCGTCAGCGATCGCAGTCGTGTGATTGGCCGTTTCCGCTCAAAACATCGCACTCTGCCGTGGCATTAGCACCCGTCACAGATTCGCGGCTAAACTGAGCGTATGATTGTCTCGTGAACTGTTCCCGAAGTGCTCGCTATTCTAGCGGATGGAAATGTTGCTGTGGTGGACGTTCATTCGAAGTCGGTTGGTTTCGTAGCAGACGACTCTTTGCTAGCAGATGACAGCCGGTTTCTCCTTGCCGCGCATCTCACATTTGGCGTTGTGACACAAATGCTCTTAGGACGTCGGGTGACGTTCCTCGCTCCGACGCTCTTATTGGGTCGCGGGACCCTGGCTTCCACAGTTCGCCCAGTTATTGTGAAACAGAGTATAGTATAGGATCAACGTAAAGACACTATGGGTGTCTCTTGAAAGCATCATGCTTTGCCTTCATACAAAATTGAAAACAGTTGCTTTTATTCTTTATTCAGAGGACTCCTGCAGCGCATAGAAGACATTATTGCAGGGGGCGAATAGTAATGCAAAGAACGTCTCAGCATTTGCAGCACAAACTATACATTCCTGTAAAGCGTTCCAGTTCTTGACCGTCCTCAGAAAAAACTAATTTTTGCACAGCTCCATCTTAGTACAGTATTCACGTATCTTGTGCACATGATCATTACGTTTGGAAAAATAATTTGGTATTAAGAGGTATATACCAGTAACTTGATGATAAATGCTGTATAAAGATTTCATCCGTAAATTTTTTTCTTTTTTGATTATATGGGGAAATTGTTCTTGCGCTATAAACATTTGTTGAATGGGTTTATTTGGGAATTTAATGAAACTGTACATTACGCTCGGTCCCATGTCTCCAGTCAATCGAGTGCTTTAATGATTGTCTTAAGATATCTAATTTAGTTAATCTATTTGAACACTAAAGGTGGGTCTCCCAGGTGGAAAACGTGTCACACACAGTTTGCGAGTGCCTGAGGTACACGCAACATGCGACGCCCAAAAGAAGCCGTCTGCATAGAAATCGGCAGAGTGCAGCTTTGACCATGTCATATTTACTTTCAGTGACTGGCGACAACGCTGAAAGTAAGAGACGCGTCTGCTCAAGCAAATAAAAATTTTACTCACATCTCGGCATTAGACATCGACTAAACTTGCCGGAGGTCATTTTTCTTGCAGCCTTTAATTTAATTTTGCAGATTTTACCGAAAGCAGATGTACGGCGGGGATGGGTGACTCACTTATCTCATATCCTGAATATGTCATAAGGAAACGCAGTACAAATAGGTCTTTCCTAAGGCCAACCTTATGAAATTTTGTTAATAAATACTTTAGCAGGGCCAATAGTTGAAAAACTTTCCTACTCAGCATAGGATAGCTCATCGAAACATCTCCCAAAAAATTAATTTCCTAAAAAAAAAAAAAAATTTTTTTTTTTATTATTTTACTTTTAATTGCAGAAGGGTTTTCCAGTTGGCAATGTTCAGAAAAAGTGGGTGTCCTATACAATTTAAGAGTGAGCACTAACCACGCAAGTTCATCTGTTCTCAGCGATTCAGCACATTGTTAATCAGGTTGTTGACTTGCTTTTTCACCATGCTTCCATGCATTAGTCTCTTCATTAGTATATTATAATGTCAACTAGTGTCAGCTGGTACGGTAGTAGACAATAATAGTCTTCATCCCACATCAGTTCAGTCGTTTTGCCGCCGGCCCTGGCCGAACAACGAACATGACCACATGAAGATGTTTGTAAAAACGACCACAATATTGACTCGAAATCACTTCGTAATTCTTAAAGTGGCCCAGTACCACTATATCATTGGTTGTATGTCAGGAGAGACACATTTGTATCAGAGAATTAAGCTAAAACTATATAATGCGCCAACACAACCACGAGCTCGCCAAAATCGAAACCAGCCGAATCGAAGCCACCTTATGGTCATGAGTGCATCAGCCCCCTCTATCCTTCAATCAGGTAACTACTGAGGTGGAAAGGTCTATAGTTTTTCTTTCCACTCAATGACAGGGGCACAGAAACTTGTAGAAAAATTAGCATTGTTCACCCCCTCAATTCACAGCCAAAACAAGCGGCCACGTGATCTGGTGCCCACTCTGTGCCACCAGTGTTTCTCGTAGCCATGCGCTCAGGTTGGCATAGTGCAGGTCATGTGCTTAGTTCCCAAAATTGTTAGGGTTTGGCTGTTCTTGTCGTTGCAGCTGTTGAACATGACCCGAATTCTCCCGGAGCCATTGACTGTCACGACCCCAAATTGAATGCTCACCGAGTGCTCATGTCAAGTCTATGAGCTGCATTTGAATGCCGTCCCGACGGGTAATTTTTCACAACTGCAACAACCCAGCAGTTATGACGACTACGTCATCAATTTCTGGGAAGCAGAGATTGAAGGAGAAGTCAGCTTTCATCCTTGAAGTCGCACCGTGACAAAGAAGCTTCTTGGTTAGTAGTAGTGGACATGTGTAAAGTGAGAAACTTTGCGACCCAATATCGTTGGTTGCCCCTTTTTAATACGACCATTGGAAAACATTTTCTTGCAAGAAATATAGATGAATACAGTTTTCCGTACTCCTTTGATCTTGCGGAAAAAGATTGAACGTGAATCATCTGACTCCGAGAGTCTTGCCGCAGGTCTTCATCTGGCTGATGGCGCTCAGCTGGATCCTGGCGACGTCCACTCTGGTGTGCCGTTGCACAACGGCCGCAGACTTCGTCAACACGCCCGAGGTGAGGTGCCTCAGCAGGCTCATGCTCTTCTTCTGCGGCGAAAATTACCTGGACCTCTGACGGCGCCTGGAAGGCAGGGCTTCTGGCTTGGGATTCTTGATGCACCGCTCTCCGAACGCTTCACTTCTTCTGCGACTCCTTCTTTCTGCCTCTTTTGTTGATGCTGCAGTCGGATTTCCTTTCACCTGCTGCACAAGACCTTTCTGGCACTGTGTCAGGATGCATGACAAACTCTTTTGCTACCTGCGCTTCTATTAGTACTGCCTCTTTGTTTTTCTGTCCTCCTGTCACTTTGCCATTTTGTTGTTTTTGGGAATGCTTTTTTTTAGTCGTCTGTTGCTGCCACCACTTCTGGCAATAAAAACCTGCTTATGCGTCGTCTTTTTGCCCCAAAGCTTTTGGTGTGCTTGTTTTGATCTTTTTATGGAGCTCACGATGTGAGCTGTCCTTAGTTGCCAGCACAATGCCTCAAACTTTTGCCCGAACAGCGTGTTTAATGTGCTTACCGCCCGCAAAATCTGAGTATTCCTCGAGTGGTGGCGAAATAACTCGTTGGGGCTGTGCCGTGCGAGAACACGGAACGCCGCGATCCTGGCAGTTGGTTGTAGAAGCGCTTGCGAACAAGATGAGTCGACGCTGTTGTTGCTCTTGAGTCCCTGGGTTTCTGTCGACTACCTGACGGTAAAGCAAGCTACAGCAGAACAAGCGTCTACTGCCTCCGGTCTGCCACCGTACCACTTGCAGGACCGCTGCGATCTGCAGCATCGCACAACATGCAAAATCGCGCAACGCAAGCCAGAAATTGAGGGAACAAAAATAATGATGCCTTAGGCACGCCAGTGGGGTTGTGTTCCACGCACTGCTGTTGCTAGTTTTGATTTGCTGTCTTCTGTATGAAAGTGCTTATGTCAAGGATAGGATGGGAACCACAGGGCACCTCTATCAGGCACCCGGCCTCTAGCGCAACTGAAAGACCTTTTGGCCATTCTCCTTCTGTCAGTGTATATGCGGAGCGCAAGCTTGTCTGCTTCCTTTGAGGGGGTTGTGGTGGCGTCAGAAAGCCAAGCTCTGATTGGCTCTTATCGAAGAAGGATGGTAGAGGGAGACCTCAGAGCAAGCTGCCTCGAGGTCTGCCCACTGTTCTTCAATCAGAGCCGATTAGATCTTAGCGTTCTGACGTCACCACAACATGTGCAAGAAGCAGGGGTTATGGAGAAGCAGACAAAATTGCGGTCCGCATAGTGTTGGCACCGATTTGTTTCCGTAAACACGGAAAAAATCTACAGATATGATTGCATCAAAGCCGGCATCAGATTTATGCAGTGCCAGTTTATGAGTCAAATGAGCATAAACTGTGGCCAGTGGTCTTCGTGGTTCAGATGTGCAAAAAGAGAGGCGGCCCCTGTCTGCTGTGTGTTTGTTGTCTGTCTGTCTCTTTGGGCAAACCACAAGGGGTGTAACCAAGCAAGGTGCCCTTTTAATTTCATCTTTGCTTTGACATCGAGAGTTAGGTAAGAATGATACAGAGAGGAATGTGGTAATAATAATAAGGCACATTTGCGAAAGTCTTTCCACTCAGAAAGTGGGAAGAAATGTTCATTATAGTTTTTCCTTGCAAGCGACTTGAGAAAGAGAATGTACAGGGTGTCACAAATGAAAATTTACACTGTCTTTTTTACCGCAAAAATAAACTAGGCATCGCCGAATGCTCATTCTCCGCCCAAAGGTAGAGCTAGAGGTCACAACGAGATGCCAAAGTTTCAGCCCGATCCGATAACTTAATGTAAAGTTATAAGTGATTTTCTGAAAATTTCAATGGGAAAATAGCGGCCGACAAAGTTTTCAAACACGTAGGGCTTTATGGCACCAGAAACCGAAAACGGGCAAAAATGGGCTTCATTTTCCCATTAAAATTTTCAGAAAATCACTTATAACTTTTGATTAAGTTATCGGATCGGGCTGAAACTTTGGCAACTGGTTGTGACCTCTAGCTCTACCTTTGGGCGAAGAATGAGCGTTCGGCGATGCCTAGTTTATTTTTGCGGTAAAAAAGACAGTGTAAATTTTCTTTTGTGACAGCCTGTACATATTTCTACATATCAGTTGCATGCATACTGACATAGAACTCAATTTTTCCCAGGCATGCAGACAGGGACTTGACTCTTTATAAGTCTATTCTGTCCAAGGAAAGAATTTGTTTCAACCAGGGTGTCGAACCGGAACTGAACCGAAACCGAACCGGTATTTTTTCCGGAACTGAACCCGAACCGTTATATTGTTATCGCGATGAACCCGAACCAGAACTGAACCGGAAAAAAAATAACGGTTACCGGCTCATGTCAAAACGGTTCGGCCACGCGCTGTTGACAATGAATGTGCTATCAATGCCATTTGTTTTTTAAGTGCCGTCAACTGACACACACCTCGCTTGCATATTTTTCTTCTCCACTCAGTCTTAGGAATATAAACGCTGCATCCATGAATCTTGACAAACGCTGCATCCATGAATCTTGACATAGGAACCAGTATTGCGCTGGTCGCGGCTTGCACGGAAGAAAGAAAATTAAAAAGCTGTACAAAAAAAAAAAAAAAAAAATCACGTCACGGGATTTTATTTTTCTACAATCTCGTAAATCCTAAATGCTGCTGTGTGCTCATTTCATAACACGTTTCTAGAACGCGCGAGTTCTTGAAGCTTGCTTCCATCGGAATGAGAAAAGAAAAGGCTGTGGAGTTTGATAATAATGCATCCGGTTTCGTATAGGCACTTAGAAGCTAACATATTTGTGAGACAGCGAACTCTTCTATTTTAATATTTATCCTATTGCGTCCTTCTGGCGTTGCGTTCGGTGAAGTGTTTTTCATATTCCGTATCTTGTTCAATGAAAACTTCTTTAAGGGTCTAATTTGAGTTACCGAAGGCTAGTTCAAATAAAGAAAGCTGTATTTTCTCCCCACTGTTCCTTCAGTTGCTTACACGCCGAGGTGGCGGGATAGTTAGCGAGTTCTACTTGTAAGTGGGTTTGTAAGGAGGTCGCGGATTTTACAGCTACTGCGTCGGACCCAATTAGATGAAGTCCGAATGCGTAAACGTCGGTGAGGTAACCTTTGAGTGCACATAAAGAAACCATTCCTGGTAGAAATCCCTGAGCCTTACACTACGATGTATCCCGTTTCGTATGTGCTGATTTCAGATGCTTTATTTGTAATTTATTTTGATGTTGTAATTTGTCATTTATAATTTCCGAACCGGTTCGCGAACCGGTTCAGCGCCCCGAACCGGTTCACGAACCGGTTCGCGGATCGAATTTATCGAACCGGAACTGAACCGGAACAAAATTAATTTACCTGAACCTGAACCGTAACCGAACCAGGGCCGTACCCAGAAAAAAAATTCGGGGGGGGGGGGGGGGGTTTTCGGGGACAACGGCGGCCATTTTGAAAATGTCTATTGTCTTATTTTCGCCTATGAATCATGTGCATCGGTGGCATATAATGGAGAGTTATAGCAAACCGGAGAACCGGTCCCGGTTTGGCACCCGGTAGCCGACCGGTGCCACTGCGCGTGCGCAGAGGTGGAGATTAAAATCGGCTGGCTGCAAGTGCACCGATCAGGGCCGTACTCAGAAAAAAATTTCGGGGGGGGTCACAACCCCCTATCCCCCCCCCTGGTTACGGCCCTGAACCGAACCCGTATCTTTTTCAGTTCGACACACTGGTTTCAACTTAATACCTAAGAACCGATTGGAGCAGTATCTGATTCGTGCGATTGAGGTTCTGTCAGAGCAGTACCTGCAAGTAAACACATGTCAAAGCTAGAGCTGCGTTCTACACTCGGCAAGCATACACATTTCAGCCCACTTGCTCGCATGTGCCAAAAACACCTATTGGTCTATTCAAAGCGCAGTGGTTGTAGGCGTAGAAAAACTGAAGCAAATCGTAATTTTATTGTTTTACTTCGGTGCTTTCTTTTCGTTCCTGGATGATGTTGCCAAAATCTTGCATCTTGGTGTTGTGGCATTTGTTTTGCTGTTACAGAATCGGTACCAGCCTCTGGTCCAGGATCTGTCAAGCACTTCCACTTACCAGACCTCGCTCAGCGTGTGAAGCGTTCCGACCTCTTCGCCGCCCAAGCATGTTTCGCTCTGTGTTGCTTGAGATTTGTTAAGGGCTGGCACCTACCTTTTTTATATGAGGTCGCACCATGTGGATCCTACACACACGTATCTTTTTCGTCTAGTCGCGCAACATGCTCATGCAGGAGTGCATGAGCCCGCCTTCCCAGCGGAGTTTGTTTATTCTCCGACATATTTCTCTGATGTGTCATGAGCTGGGCTCTTCATTTGTGGTACTGATGCTACTTAGCGGTTGTTTTATTATACCTTTTATGTATAGGTCAACAATATAACATTTAGTTTATATCTAAGTAATTTTGATTTGGAAGTGGCAGGAAGAGCCACAAACATTTGACGATTTGCCTGACTCTTGCATCTTCGAGTGACTTGCATTGTGTTGTGTAATGGTAGCTGTTTCATTTGGTGCAGTGTGTTGCTATAAGTGCTGGAAAGATTAGAAAAGGATGCACAACACTATCTTGAATAGTGAATACAGTAAAACCTCGTTATAACAAAGTTGAAGGAGCGGTCGTAATTATTTCGTTATAACCATTAGTTTGTTATAGCCAATGTCCATTTCTTCCCACTATTAGCAAGCAAGGGGAATTATGATTGCTTTGTTATATCCATTAGTTTGTTATATCCCGTTTTGTTATAACGAGGTTTTACTGTACTTCATGAACCCATGATGAAGGACTTGCTTTAAAGCATGATGTAGGGGTGTGTTAAGCATACATTTTTTTAAAGTTTTGTGCATACCTTAAAGTAACCGATTTGTTGCGCCTTCGTGAACTGAGCCTTCCCTGCAATGTTGCTTCAGTCTTGTACTTCGTGTGCAAACCATGTGTGTCAATGTTGAACACTACTACTGTACCCAAATCAAACACACACAACACTAAGCTCATTCAAATCCTTCACACTATCTATGCTCATGGATGCTGAGGCACTTGCACAAAGTGTAGTGACTGCCTAGCAGCTCAACAAGGTCTCAACAGCTTTTGGCGAAGTACGGTATATCGCGCATGTACAGGAGTCGTTGGGGGGTAGGATGTTTGTGGTGCTCATTGACAAGAGGCACTGCTACACTGAAGAGCAGTCTTTCTTAACATGGCCACACCTAGCTTCGAAGGTACTGTATTTATAGTCGCTGATAAGATGAGAACGGCAGGCCGCCTCTTTTGGACACTCGGCCCCTAGCATGTACCAATTGCCTTCTGCCATTCTTTGACTTTGTGCGCACGCTCGAGGCTTGCGAGACGTTGAAGCACTATCGAAGATGAGAAGCTCGTGCAGAAGCGGGGCCGCTGAAACTTCCCTGCTGTTCTCATTGTTTCAGTGGCTATAGTGGCCATTCTACGGGGTCCATTGAAGAAATGAAATTAGTTTCTTAGGACCACAAAAATAAACTATGCATGGCAGACGGCTGAAACTCCGTGAGAATGTGACTCTAGCGGTGCTGACAAAATGCGCAAGCTTTAAGAGCATGAGGCTACCTGGATCAAAAGATACGGGAGAAAACAAAATTTCTTTATTATCCGAGGTCCACCCAAGCCCAATATTCATCAAACAAAAAAGTGACATTGTGGGATGTCGTGGCTGTTATTTTCGTGAAAAATACTCATCAGAAAGAAAAAAAACAATATTGTCTTTCTTGCTGACAAGTCTTTTTTGCTCTATGGTACAGGCACCCACAATGCAATTCTTTCACTTGGTGAATATTAAGCTTGGTGGACGTCAACACGTAAAGAAATTTTTTCTTTTTTTTTTTGTATATTTCGATCCAGGCAACGTCATATTCTCAAACTTACTCATTTTGTTAGCACCACTAGCGTCACATTCTCGCGGGGTTTCAGCTTTCCGCAATGCACAGTTTATTTTCGCAAGCTGGAACACCGTATTTCATTTTCTCGATCGACCCCCGTGGATTGCTATACGGGAACCATAGTTGCTATGAAACATGTTGGAGGACGACGGCTTTGTATGATTACAGCTCGTTAGTGATTGTTAGCAATGCTCATTATATTGGTGCCAGGTGTTTCCTGGTATGTCTGATTTTCTCTTAGGATGGGATTTCGTCAAAGGCAAGCCTGATATACGTGACTTCTAGGTCTTGCTGGATTGCACGGTCGCCTTGTTTATCTTGACAAAACAACGTAATGCACAGGACACGTGTGTAAGATCGTGCAGTTGGCAGCGTTAAGATTTTTATCAACTGCTCAGTCTGTTGCTAGAACCCATAGCACTTTCAGGAAGGAAATTCAGCTATATTCACAAACCATAGCGAAGTTTACACAGGTTTTATCGACTACTTAATCTGTTGATAAACTCAACCCTTTCACGAATCACACCTCTTTACACAATGGCAAAGTTTACACCATTATGCAGCTCATTCTTACTTTTAGATGCTCATGAGGTGTTGGGATACTGCCACTGTATTTTGAAGCACAAAGCTCAAAAAGTGTAATTTGTTGAGTGTGGTATATGGCAAGGTGGTAATTCCTTGCTGCAAATGTCACATTCCAGTTTCCGCACAGAGTCACAAAAAGTCTAGATTCGCTTTGCTGAAGTTTTAGCGAACAAAATGACCAATGTTGACATTATTTCCAGGTGTGACTGTTTCCGCAACCCAGACTTTCGGACATTGCTAGTGGAGTCTTGTTAATTCTGCATAAATCAACTGGTGTTTGGTATATATTGCTTATGCTGAAACATTGTTTCTATGTAGCGTGCCTGTTTGTCTCGAGATTGATGTGCGTCGGGGCCGGGATTTGAACCCGGGTCCGTTGACTACCAGTCAGGATTTCAGTGCTCTGGAGTCCCTGTATAGACCATATTTTCCGGACTGTAGTCCGCAACCAGTGTGTATACGTTTTCTGTTTCCTGTTGTCCTCAGTCACGTGGGTTCCGTATCTGGTATGCGGGACGAAAAAATAATAAGCATTTCAACCAGGATTATGCGAGAAAATGTAGGCGAGGCAAAACAAGAAGTGTGACGATCAGATATTTTTCGTAAACTCCTTCCAGCGGCGTGGAGAGATCAAAACAATGTTTTACCGCATACCAGAAGTGATGACATTTAAGACGGCTGCACCTTTGTGGAAAAGGTGTAACAAATTTTGACTTAAAAAACAAAAACAAAACATACTTCGTTTCACTGTAGCTTGGCGAAGAGCAAATGCTACGGTCCCTTGGAGCCAATCGGAGCGACGGGGCGTAGCACGTGGTACAGGGCTAGAACGTAACCCAAGTAGTTGGCGAGGTGGGGAAGGAGGAACCTACCTTTTATCCAGGCCGCTTTTTCTGTGCGACCCAGACTTTGCTTTCGTCTCCCTCGACGATTAGCCCGTAGCTCGAAATTCATGCAGAAGGGCGTTTCCTCTCCCTCCCAGCCCGTGGTTTTGACAGCACTTCAGTCAACTAATGGGCTAGAGTCACGTGTTTCCCTCCGACGCGCTGACTGGCTCACGAGGACCGTAGCCGTCGCCGTTTCCCAAATAACCAATGCATACCTAGTCTGCACATAAAATATATGTATATATATTATATGGCACTTCTTAAAGAATGTTGGCTTCATTAGTGCACCACATAGCTCTTATCATACATAAACCATTATTAACGTAATCTGTCATTCACAAAATCCGCCAAGTCTAATCGTAGTGGAAGCTTTGAATAAAAAAAAGTATATGTATACTTGTATAATCCACATTTGTAGGGTACCTGACCGTTAAGGGTACTTTTAAATAGTGTCGGCAAGTTGCGATGCCCTCCATCGTTCTTAGAATTGCGTCGTGCTTTTGTTTATTTCTTGGTATAGAATTGAAGCAGATGAGGACCTTTCCCCTGTCTACACTGTTAACAATATTAGATATTTACCACTGAGCACGGGATCTACGTAAATTCCTCAGTTGAGATTATTATGCCTTAGAACGAGTGCTATTTTATGTTTTTGGTAGTCGGTCGATATGCTCATCTTATATGGGTTCACTGGCGATTGAAAGAACAACCTGTGAAAATATGCTTTTTTGGCAGCCATTCTCGGAAGTGGCATCACTGTTCCTTCAGGATTACATGTTATTGACGTGCGCGCGTCTCTGGGGTTTGAGTAAAACGTGTCGTCAAACAATGTTTAAGAGCTATTAAAACGGTTGACGTGGAATCATGGAATCATGTCATATTTTTCTGTAAAAGTATAGTGCCATTGTTCTAGAGCCACGAAACAAGCTGTGCTTCAGGGAAGGCACATGACCACTTAGTTCCCTCCCTCCCTGCCCCCATTTTCTCAGCTCCTGTTTTTATTCACCGCGTTCTCTCTCACTCCGGAGCATTTCTCTCCACACTTAGTGTGTTCCACTGATCTCAATGACAACTGCTGGATCGCCCTTGCCGCTCCCGCAAGTGAAGCCACCGGGCCTCACTCGCTTGGGATACGATTTGCCGTTTTTGCTAGCCTTTGCTGCGGTTTTCCAGCGTGCTGACGACACGTTTTCTACTCGTTCGTCGTCATTCGCCGAAGAAGTTTTTTGAAGACTCTGTGTATTGTTGAGACTTGCCGTTGTGAACACGTGGAAAAGTTTACGAAAGTGCAGTGTCGCAGGAAAAAGGCACAACGCGTCGAAAGGAAGGGCTGGCGGCGTGTTCAAAGCATCCTTGGCACGCCGAAGTGCCGTGTCTCTGTGCCTTCGCGCGCTTGGATACCGACCAAGAACCGACGCCGTGTGAATGTGTTTAGCGAGTGCAATGTGCGTGAAGCCGTATCAAAAGGTACAACTCGTCGAAAACGTGTCGTCGGTGTCGCGGCGTGATCAAAGCTTCCTTGGCACGCCGAGTGATGCATCTTTGTGCCTTCGCACGCTTGGTTACCGGTCAAGAATTGACGCCGCGCCAAAGTTCTGAACGTGTGTCGCGCGTAGATGCCTTTAGATCATTTATATATATCGGCCACGGAGTTCTGGATCGTCCAGCTGTTCCGGTGAGTTGCTATCAATAAAAGGGGGAGATCTGTACGTGTTCTTATGTACTATATTAACCATGGCTATGTCCCAAATCTACTCTAATAGATTCCGTGGGAGCACGAATAGGGCAACGTTGTGGAGCCAGGGGGGTTTTCGAAAGCAAAAGTACAAGACGGCGAGAATGAAAATCTTTGAAGCGCGGCCGATATGGTCGTGTGCAATCTGTTGACCAATTACAATTAGGCGAGCCGCGCTCAAACGTCAAGTGCAATTAAGTAGGTTGATAATAAGCCAGCACTGATCAGTGATGAGGAGCTGTTGTGCACGGAATTGTGTAAATCGTCTAAGGACGAAAAAAAGACGTACCTTCTCCCCATCTTCCGTCGCTAGTGGACGCTGGATTAAGCTCGTTCCTAAACCGCGAGGGGAAAAGACGCTGATCCAGAGGCACGAACAGCTTCACGCACATTGCACTCGCTGAACACATACACACGGCGTCGGTTCTTGGTCGGTATCCAAGCGTGCGAAGGCACAGA